ATAGGGCACATGCACTCACCAGACAGATAGTGACAGAGAGAGAGATAGAAAGCGAGAAATCACCCCCCGTGGGGGTATGGCCACACCACAATCCCTTCTCCCCCATTTTCCTCTCAGGATGCTGGGCACGCACGCACACACGCCCGGCATGAGTTTAAGCCACCAGGTCTGGGACTTGAACCGTGGTCGACTATGTGGGAGTCCAGCGACATAGCTATTATGCTAACTGCTGGTCCCTAGACACACATATTTTTATGATTGCTTTTTATCTTTTATTCTTTGGTGGATTGACTGTTCTTAAAAAGTTTTGGTGGATTTTTTTTTTTTAATCTGTTTTATTTTTTCATCTTATCAACCTTAGTCAGTAGAGCATGAAGAAACATTTGGGTTAGGTATAAATTACCTGTCTTTTAAACAGTATTTGGTATTTAAAATTTAGTAGAGTAACTTGAATGTCAATATTTCTGAATGGTATCTTTCCAAAAGGATGAAGAGAAAATATATTGATAATAGAATTTGGTTAGATACTGTGTTCTTAAAATATTCTTATGCTTTTTTTTTTTTAAACAGTTTTCCTTATAACTTTTCACTTCTCAGGAGAAATTGTTTTCCGTGATTAAGTGTATGTCGTCCTGTGGCAGTGCAGTTCCTAAGTTCCAGGCATTCTTCTCTATTTTTCTTTCTGTTTTTTTTTTTAAAAGATGTGTACCCCATTTGAAAATACATATAGCATTTATAGTTTAGAAATAGTCTTATCCTCCAGAGTCAATATTATTACCTTAGCTAATTCTAAAAAAAATTGGGTTATTTGTTTATTGTTTATTTTGAAAGCTTTGAATTGTATATTCTAGTGATATTTAGTTTTCTTACTACTTTTAAATCTGAAAAAGAACATTAGAAAATTTATAAAAGGTATGATTTGGCTAAAATTTGTATCTCAGGATACTACCGTTGAAGATTTTTTTTTTTTTTTTTTTTAACAATACTCAAAAATTAATCCTGGAAGCCAATTACCCGTACCAAAAGAAATCCTTGAAAGTAATACTTTCAATAAAATTTAATGCCATGTACAATGGCTCCTGTGAGATTAGAAAGGTGGTATCAGATTAGATATCAGTTACTTGGCAAAATTCCATTTGTTTTTTGACCAGTTACTTCATTCATTTGTAAACATTTACTGGATTATCTATGCAGCGTGCCTCTACTCTCCTATGGGCTGGAAATACAGACTCACAGCTTCTGCTGAGACCTTCTTTCTTTTTCTTCTTGGCACCTGGAATTCTTTGGACACTTAGGGGATTTTGTGAGGAACTTGTTTTCTTTAAAGAAGTGCCTTAGGACCAGTAAGAATGAGTGATAAAAGATAAGAGAAAGATGTACATTGTGTTTCCAACTCAGGAGGAAGTTTTTGTTGTATGAATAGTCTGTAAATTTTTAAACTCAGTTGTTCAACTTCAAATCAGTCTGTTACAGTGTAAGTGAATAGGAATTACAGTCTTTAGAGAAATTGTTATCTTCTGTTTCATTGCCTAAAATTGATTAGATATAGCCTTACCTTATATTAGAAATGCTTAAAACTAATAAGCTGTATATATGCTTTTAATTATTTAGTATTGAGAACAAATATTGCACGTAGTCTGATTATACGTACATTTCAAGAAAAATTTCTCAGTATTTGCATATGAAATACTTTGGTTATTTCAAATTTGGATTGGTTGTTTCTAACTGTAATTTCAGAATCTTTAAAAATATAAGTATTTATAGAAAATGTTAAACCAATTTATTGATGTACAAGTAGATTAATAGACCTGTAGTTCTCATTTGAGGTTGGCATTTCAGCATTGCTGATTTTATTACCTTTGTTTCTCTAGTGGTTGAAATTTAAGGTCTGTAGTGGGGTATTTATTCTTTTCTCTCTTAAGATATCACATAGTATATTATTGTCTGTAACATAGAATGAGATAAGGTCCTACTGAATCTCCATCAGTATTTTCACAAACACTGTTGTTTGAATGGTGATCTAATTTTAAAAATGCCTTTATGTTTTTCTGTATAAATGATACATTATCAAATCCAGAGTCTTCATAAATTATTACCTCTTTAGGCAGGAGAGATACCAGGTCTCTGCCATGATTTAAAAATAATTTCTACTTAGAGAAATCTGTTTGTTTCTGAGTATGTGACTGTTGAATCCAGAAGTTTCTGTACTTCAGGTAAAATAAAGAATTTCTATTCTGAAAGTAATCTGACGTGGGAGAAGTTTATGTGAATTATTTCTCAGCCAACCCTTGAAATATAACTTGCCCCTATAGCCTAAGGACATTTAAAAAAAAAATCTAAGTTTGCTGTTTTTAACATATATTCTTTGGAGTATATTAAATAAATCAAATAATTAGCCTTTGTTTAACTTAACTGAAGGGGAAATCATAAATTTAGTTCATTATTAATCTGAGCAAGATGTGATTTCTTGGGAATTGTTTTCATTTTTAAAGTAAAGTGGGCCTATAAACCTAAAAGATTACCAAGTATATTTCTTGTTTTAAAATGGACTTTTTCCTTTTTGCCTTTTATTTTCACTGAACAATGTTATTATCAATGAGTATTCAACAATTGAAGGAAAACTGGGTAATTCGAGAAATTTTATAATTTCCAAATAAGTTTGTAACTATCTTAATCAAAGATGTTAAATTTAACTTTGATTTTATTAATTTAGAAAGCTTAGGTAATTTTCATGATTTATATTTGTCAAGGAAATTGAAAGAAAAGACTAGAGGGTGATTATTAAATAATTTTTAAAAATAATGATTTTATTTAACTTTATTTATTTATGTATCTATTTATTTTAATTTGACCAGAGAGGGACAGAGTGAATGAGCAAGAGAGAGAGAGAGAGAGTGAGAAAGCAAGCCACCAGGTCCAGGACTTGAACTACAGTCAGCCATATGGGAGTCCAGTGCCCTTAACCACCAGGCCACCTGCCGGCCTCTAATAAATAATTTTTGAAACACTTTTGTAGCACCTGTTTTTACCATGTAGGTACAATAAAAATGTATGTAAGATAGGTCTGATTTACTAATTTTAAGCCTTTTTTTTTTTATCTATTTAAAGAGGCATTTCTTAAAAGCTTCAGCTGTGGAAAAGTTGGTTAGTCTGGTTTTTTTTTGACTCGTGAAAATAGCTAACTAGATTGCATTTCTTGATATTTATTATTCAGATTTTTTTCTCTAATTCGTGCTCCTTTCTTATCATCATCTCTCATATATTACCTCAATGTCATTTTACTTAAAATACTTTCTTAACCTACTGATCTAAAAATGTAATCTCTTCAAAACTAAAAGACTAGGACTTAAAATTTATTGGGAACTTGAAATGAAGAAAATAGCTGTCAGACTCATAAAGTACTTTCATAATTTATTTGATACTTCTTGCTAGATGGCAGTTTCACCTCCTTGAACTTTCAGATTTCTTTTTTCTTTTCTTTTAGTTTTTTGAAATTGCAGATTTGATGGCTAAACTCATAGGTTTTCTTTTCTTAGGCCAAACTGTTTTCATTTCTCATTTGTAGAAAGTTGGCCGTGTTCCTAAGCAGAATGATTAGCTTGTTCTTTTCATCTTCAAAAAAAAAAAAATTTAGTCTTAATGTTGTTAGGTAATGAAATAACCATTTCTTTTCAGCTTTTGGTATATTTCCAAACTGGCTGGCAGAGCCAGAAGGAAGTGAAGGCATTATAACACTAACTTTGGTTGGTTACTACCTTCTTAGTGCTGAGACTATAACCTTGGTTGGTTGGTTGATAGAGAACAAGAGAGCAGAGTCCTCGTTCTACTAAACAGGTAAGGAACTCTTGTGATAACTAGTTGGTGTGAGAGAGAAATGACTTGATAGCATTTTTTTCTTCATTTATTCCAAAATAAAATGTGTCCCAGAAACGGGAGACTGTGACTGACTCTATTACAGGGAGCAGGGATATGCAGCACCTTTATATTTAGAATAAGATCTGAAATTTAATAGGGATGTTTCACTCTATACCACAAGAGATGACTGATCTGTTTTCCAAAGGCAACACAGTTAAAATATATCCTGCAGTCCCTAAGACTTTAAATATGTATCTGCCTATCGTATTCTCCTTTCAGCTTTTCCTTGATCAGGTGCTATGTACTTTGAACTTCCTTCTCTTATTTACCTTATTCCTATGATAAAACTTTTTCAGTATCTTTACATCATCTATTATTTGGGTATTTCTTACTGCTTTAATTTCTACATTGTAGTCATTAATTAATATTTCTGGTCCTTCTTGACCTAAAACAAAATGATCATGCATTTAACAAATATTTTTAATCTGTGTTACCTATGTTTATTGTTTTGCTCCCCCTTCCCACCAGTTTTAAAGATGATACTTGAATAAAGCTTTTTCAGTGACCATAATCATAGCTTTGATAAAACACAGAGTTAAGCTTTGTATTGCTATTATGGGCCTGTATTGTGATTAAATCTTTAAATTACTGAAGATTTGAAATCAAACAACAAATTCAGCTTTTAAGACATTCCCAAAATTTAGTAGTAGTCCTGTAAATACACTTGATTATTCTGTTTCTACTTTTCAATCCATCTGCTTCTCTTCGACAGAAGAATTAATTGGGACTCCTCCTTTGATATAGCTGAGGTTGAGTGCCTTTCCCATGTCCCCTTAAGACAACTGTGATCTTATTTCTAGTCATAATTTATCATTTTTTAATTTGGTTTTCCACTCAAAGTTGAGTGTTTTTTTTTTTTTTTTTCCTCAGAGTATGTTATGGCTTAGACCAATACAGGTCCTGTCTTAATAGTTACTGAGGAATTAATAATTTGTGGTGACAGACTTGTAGAATTCACATTAAGAAGGCATAAAGAAAGTATCCCCAAAGGTAGCTCCTTTTATCCTGAGGATAAGCCATTACAAACTCAAATGACCAGAGAATGTAATTTCTTAATAAGAATTTTTTCTTAAATCTATATTCAGCTCTCTATTTCAGTGCTTCTCTCCTACCAGAGGTGCAAGGAGTGATCCTAGAACCACAGATACAGCCAAGACCACGGAGAGCTTTTGACGTCAGGGGTCCATTTTCTCCACTGAACCCTTGGAGGCAGAATATCCAGCTTCTGGAGAGAGTGGGAAAGGATAATAAACAAGTGGGTGCTTTCCATTATTTACTTGGGTTTATTTATAGATTGGAGTGTCCTTCCATTGCCCAGTTAATTCTGTTGGTAAACTCCTTCATATAAGAACCAGGTGGGACTGCAATCTGTTTGTTTTTCTAAAAATACTAACTAGTGCCCATTCAGAAAGAGACCTAAATTTTATTTAATTTTCTCTCCAGATAATTAAAGCAGTGGATGATTTGGGCACATGATTTCAGAATGCCTGTGTAGGCCACAGGAATTTACAAAAGGGAATATTTACTCATTCTGGCCTTTATGGTATTAACAGGCTTCTAAGTACTCTTATGGTCCCGTAGTTAGAAAATTTCTGTATTTCATCTTCAGGCAAGCTAGACATCTGAAATTTCCTAATTTATACAGTCAGGTGTCTAGATGTTATCCTACCCTGTTAGTGAGAACTTTTTGGTCTTTCTCCTACCTCAAGCAGTAGGACCTCATATTAGAGCTTTTAGAAGATGCAATGATAGTACCATTATGGTTTTACTGTCGAATGTAGGCTTCATTCTTTAATAAAATAAATATGAATGAATATAAGTTTCAGGATATAATATTCCTGAAAGCTATGTTTAATATACTCAAAAAGTAGTTTGCTAGTCCCTAGGAATAGTATTATTTATGGGAAAAGAGCCTTTTCCTAGATTTTTCCCACGGCATTAAGGTTGTTTTCTCTTAGTTTTCTTTGATGCCAAGGGTAGGATTTGATTCCAGGAAGTTCTTATCGTCTACAATGGGTAGAATATGAACTTGGTGTCTTTGGCAAGTTTTCATTTTTCCTTGGATTCCTTCTGTGACTCTAGGTATCTTGATAATGGGAGACTGGTTTATTTGTTCTCTAATTGCCCAGATTTCTTTCAACTGGTAAAACATCATACTTCTTCAGCAAAAGGAATTCTTCTAGCAGAGCCTTCATGGATGATATCTGTCACACATGCCAGCACCTGCAGTTTGGAAGGCAGTGGTGAATGGATCCATGCAATATGTCTAGAAGATACAAGGATGAGCGAGACACCTGATCTTGTCATTTATAAACTTTAATATTTACTTTGGTTTACTTTTGGTCTGAAAATGGAAAGGCTCAAATAATAAAATATTTTCAGATTGGAATTTTATATGGCCATGAAAATAATTCCTTTCTATTCAGAAGACTGAAATTGAGGAAGCTTGAGAGACTCCTTTCTTTTAAAAACAGCTTTCTGTATCTGTTTCACTTAAAAGGTTTATGGGATTGAAAAACACCTTAATGAAATAGGCAAATATTTTTTTTAAAGTAGAATAGGAAAGCCATAAAACTTAATGGAATTTTCTGTTGTTGTTGCCTGACATTGAAAGGGATTAGTAAATAAAGGATGAATTCTTCATTATTCCAAAATTACTTTTAATGTCTTCCTTTAGTTCATCTTTTGCTGATCTTGAGCCTTATTCTTATTAGATTTGTTGTATCAACAAAGATTGTGGTATAGAAATAGAAGAGACATCTTTTAAAATCCAAATGGCTTGATTTGTCTTCTGAAGTAAATACTTGAGGTGGTATTTTGCACTGAAGGCATACTAAAGTTTAAATGATACAGTCACAAAGTGGTAGTTCACAGAGCAAAGGCAATTAAATATTTGAATAAGCCTATTGGTGTGAGTAAATGTTGCAAAATAGTTATCCAGATTATCAATTAATTGATAGAAGTAGATATCATATATTTTTGTTTTTCTCTTTGGTACCTATTAACTAGCTAGATAAAAATAGCTAAATAAAATAAGGCATTTGATGCTGACAGCTTGCTTTTTTTGGGTATAAATTTTAAGACTAGAAATTCCAGTGCTAATAATGAGGAGGTAACATAAACGTTTTAGGAATCTTAAAGGTTTCAGAAGCCACATTTGTTAAAATAAATAACCTAGTCTTTAGCCTTTTTTTTGGCTATCTGTGAAAACTTTTTCCTCATTAATTATAAGTAAATTTAAGTATATTACTTTAAAGTAAGCTTAGAAGATCATTTTTCACTAAAATTTCCCCAGAGAGCTCTGAATTCCCATAAGTGATTACAGTTTTTTATTTGACTTTTTAAAAAAATGTTAGTAAAACAGTTGATGTACAAACCCATAGAAATTAATAAACACCTACCCAATATTTTAGAAAGAACTCAGGGAACCGAGAGTGAAATTTGCTTGGAAATAAAGTTAGTTGAATTTTTGAAACTACCTTAAAAACCAGTTTATGACCTGAGAGACTATTAACTTTAATGTTTGAGCTTTGAAGATGAAAAGTGATTTAATCTCTTAATCTCAAACTTTGATTAAATTTTAGCTCTGTTCCTTAAAGTGTGCAAAAGAAATGTAAGTGCATTTCTATTCACCTCATACCATCAAAAGCTATTTAAAAGCGAAACTTTTTGTATATTAATGTGAACTGACTTGTTTATTTGAACTTTTATTTCAATGCATTTTCCTTTCAGAATTTTTAATATTTGTGTCACAATATGAAGTTCTATATTTCTCAGTGTTTATTTTATGCATATTAATATAAGCTATTTTTTCTAGAATGACTAATTGTGTAATATTTGTATTATGTGATCATTTGAAAACTAATAAATACTTTCTCCATGAAAATTGCACTTACTGATAAATGGCTTATTTTTGTTTCAGGAGTAGAAAGTGAAAACTGCAACAGTATTTTATGTGTATTTCTTATGTGTATTTCTGAATATATATATATATGTGTGTGTGTGTGTGTGTGTATACATTCACACGTGTGTATATATAAGTGTAATACATTTTATATATAAATATATGTATTCCTTCTGTATTTTTGAGAAAAAATTTTAAACTGTTAAAAGAATTCTTCCTGAGGTCACCAAGTCAGTACATGAAATTGGTGATCTGTTTAGTCTGATTTTACATTTTCTTGATTAGTATTATCTTCATGTTGTTTCTATAATTGGGATTTTTTAGATGCTGTTTTGTATGTCAGTTTTGCATGCCATACAACGTTCATAAGTTAATGTTATAAATATCAGGAGTAATTTGATCAAATCTTTTAAAAGCTAGATTGATCAAAATATAAATCTTTAGAAAATAGCACACAAAATGCGGTCCTTTTATCAGAAAAAGAACAACAGAAAATAATGGATGATTGGAGAACTACCCAGTACATAAGAGTTGCTAATACGAGAAGAAATATGTTTTGTACTTTAATGTTCTACTTGAACAAAAACTATAGAATGAGAAATCTTGACTTCAGAGTCTCTTGCTTTTAAAATTTTCAAGACATGGAAAGGGTAAAATTTGGTTTTAATGATTGTTGCCTTTGTAACTGCATAAACTTATTTATTTCAAGCCATTGAAAAAATTTACCTTTTCTATGCAGGATTTGCTAGAAGCAAGAGGATTTCTTTTGGATTTGAACAATACTTATAGAAGAAGTGGACTCCAAAAATTAAAAATAAACATTAAGATGGGGTCCTAGGTGAGAAATGAAAACTGAATGATAACCTGTGGATAAAAGGAAATAGAGTACCCAAGGAAATTATACTCTGAAAAACTGAGAATTACAAAAGGAAATAATGGTTTAGAATAGTTATTGTATTGGAGTAGGGGAAAGGGAATTAAACTTCTTGGTTTTATTAATCTGGTAAGTTTGGAAGAGATGAGTAAAGATTATGTGGACTAAATTGTTTTTAGAATTAAAGCCATTAAAAGGTTTACAGGCAGTATATTTCAATGGAAGGCTGTATTTTGCTTGAATGCAAAACAATTTTAAACCTTTCTTATCTGTATAAAAAGGGGGTGGTGTATTGGCAGTGGAGTTTAAAAAATCCTGCACTAGAAACTTCAGAAATATTGCAAAGATAATAATAAAATGAGAGATTTAAATAAGTAATTTTTCTTAATATGGAGCTCTCCCCTACACTATCAACGATAGCTGTCAGAATAAAAATATTCTAGAATGTTGAACGTGGCTTACCACTGTTATCTTTAATGCTTATGTTTTCACTATAGTGATCCTTCTTTGGGAAGGAAACAAAGGACAAAGTTTTTTTGTTTGTTTGTTTGTTTTTCAAGGTAGCTTTTGTTTAAAAATGTAAATATAAGCAGTGTGACTGCAAGTACTGACCTTATAGCTTATTGTAAATACATACACAGATCTTAGTTTTCTTTATAGTGTACTTGAAACAGTTGAGCAAACATCATTGCTTACATGTCCTAAGCAATTTTTGTTATTTATATTCAGATATTTTTGTTTCCCATTTAAAAGGTTTCATTACTAATTTAGTCTTAAAATGTGAAAGATTCATGTTTCACAAATAAGCACATGGATGCTCTGAAGATTTTTTTCCCACTAGTATGTACATCTAAGATAATTAGATTACTTGTAGTAGAAATGCTAGGCAACTTTGGAGTATGCATCGGATTTTTCAGGAATTATTGATAAGAGGAATCTCTGCTCAAGAGGTAAGATATGGCATAGGCAGAAAAATGTTCAAAATATATTCAATGTAATATTTAATGATTATACTACAACAGGTATCTTTGGATTTTTCAGACAGATGTAGAATTAGGAAAATGCTTTGTCTTAAAATTTTCTTCCAGATAAGAGAAATGGATAAACCACGAATTTGATTTTGTATGACTTTGGAGTGAATTTAGAAACCTGTCCGGGGGCCTGCAGGGTGGTTAAGGATCTAGATTCCACATGACCTTCTAGATTCCACATGACTGACCCTGTGGTTCGAATCTCGGACCTGGTGGCTTGAAAAACATGCTGGGTATGTGTGTATGTGTGCCTAAAATTCCAAGAGAAGAATGGAGGAGAAGGAATTGCAATGCGGGCCAGCCCTCATATCGGGGGGGTGGGGGTGATTTAAAATTCCAAGAGAAGAATGGAGGAGAAGGAATTGCAGTGCAGGTCAGCCCTCCTATGAGGGGTGATTATTCATTTTCTCTCTCTCTCTCTCTCTCTGGCTAGTGCACGTATCCTGTGACAAAAATCTTAAAAAAGGAATCATGTCTGTAGATACTGTACTTTGCACACATAGCCTCTGCTATTCTAAGGATCAGCTACTCTTACTCTCCATGTTTATGATCCATCTTTAATTTAGTATTTCATAAGTCCTGAATGAGCACTGTAAGAGTATTGTGCTTTGCATGGAAAAGCTCATGAGATCTTTGCCTGGTTTCATTTTAGCTACACATGCCTATTTTTATTTTTTTGGAGAGGTTTTTTGCTTTAGGGCACATGTGCTCATTAGAAAGACGGAAACAGAAAGCGAGAAATCACGCCACAATCCCTTCTCCATTCTCCTCTCTGGATCCTGGACACGCACGCACACACACCCTGCGTGAGTTTAATCCACTGTGTCCGGGACTTGAACCACAGTTGACTACATGGGAGTCCAGCGACATAGCCATTACACCAACTGCTGGTCCCCACATGCCTAGTTTTATTAAATGATACTTGGAACTTAGAAAATAGTCACCTGAGTAACTTATTTGGTCTTGAGAAATTAATTCAAGAAGTTTTTTTTTTTTAATTTTTGAAATTATTCAGTTTTATTTATTCATTTATTTTAATTTGACCAGAGAAGGACAGGGCAAGAGAGAGAGAGAGAGAGAGAGAGAGAGAGAGAGAAAACAAGGCACGAGGTTTAAGATTCAAACCATCGTCAGCCATGTGGGAATCCAGTGCCCTTAACCACCACCACTACCACCACCACCACCTGCCAAACCCAATTCAAGGAGTTTTATCAACATGTATGTACATTGTAATTCAGATGAATCTTTTATTAAAGGTTAAGGAATAATACTGTTCCTAGTATATAGAATCACGGAGAATAATGTTACACTGGTACTCTCTAAGAAATATTAAGTAGGTTCAAAAAGTTGAGTGTTAATAGTATATTTAGAAATAAAGGAAAATGCATTGTCAAATATAGATGAGAACTTTTTCTATGATTAAATTACTAGTATATTTTACTGAAAGAGTAACAAGGAAAACATAATAATCTTCTATCATGTGTTTGAATTCTTATTATAAGAACTCCAGCTTAAGGATATTTGGGTTTTAATTAAAATGCTACTTATTCTGCTTTTCCCTTTATAGAGAGCAATAATGTTGATACAGAGTTTGCTCCCTTACCTTTTTATTTTTGGAATTATTTTATTTAAATTTATTTATTTTCTATTTGACCTGAGAGGGACAGAGAGAGAATGAAAGTGAGCAAGCAAGACATCAGGTCCAGGTCTTGAACCATGGTCAGCCATGTGGAAGTCCAGCACCCTTAACCAGCACACCACCTGCTGGTCCCCCCCCCCCCCATGCCATTTTTTTATTGAAAATTACCAGGATGCTCCTATGACCTAATGATTAAGGGAGTCAGATCTCTCATGGCTGACCATGTCACTTGACTTCCAGACCAGTTGCTTGAAAAACACATTGGACACTTGTGCATCTGTGTGTGCCTAGAATTCTGATAAAATGGAAAAAGGGAGGAGAAAGGGTTGTGGTGGTATCATTCCCCAATTAGGAGTGCTTTCTCTCTCTCTCTCTCATGCTCTCTCTGGAAAATTAAAATTGAAAAAAGTTACCTTAAAAATATTTAGTTGGGGCTGGCAAGTGGCATGGTGGTTAAGGCACTAGACACTCCCACATTGCCGACCGTGGTTCAAGTCCCAGATTTGGTGACTTGCTTTCTCACTTACCCTCTCTCTCTGTCTTGAATCTCTGGTTAAATTAAAATGAATGAATGAATAAGTAAATAATTTAAAAAATTACTTGTTAAAAAGAATCTAGGTGGAGTCAGCAGGTAGGATGGAGGTTAGGTGATGGAGGTTAGGTGTTGGATCCCACATGGCCAGCTTCACAGTTCAAGTCCTGAACCTGGTGTCTTCAGAATCATGACAGGTGTGTGTGCGCACGCGCACGCATGTCCAAAATTCTAAGAAGAGAGTGGAGGAGAAGGGGTTGCTGTGTGTCTGTTCCTCCTTGGGAATAGAGGGGCGATTTCTCACTTTCTCTGAAACGAAGATTAGCACCCTCATTTTGCATACAGAATAACTGCTATTACAAGCATTTCAAATATTAAATTATTGATAGTACCAGCTTGGAGTCTGTACCACTTTACTCTCCTCTTGTTGAATCATGATTTTGGACAATAGAGCAAGTTGATGCCTTTCACATGTGATGGCTGTTAAATCTCTCCATAACAGGCCCAAGTTTTCCTTTCCACACATTTGTGCATCCTTATTAACCTCTTCATGTACCATGGAGAGAGCCTTAAAAGTTTTATATAGGTCTTCTCTGAATATACTGTTTCTCATTATTATTATTATTATTATTGGAGAGGTTTTTGCTATAGGGTGTGTGCGCTCACCAGACAGAGACAGACAGAAAGCGAGAAATCACCCCCCAGAGGGGATGGCCACGCCGCAATCCCTTCTCCATTCTCCTCTTGGGATCTTGGGCATGCATGCACACGCACCCTGAGTGAGTTTAAGCCACCGGGTCCGG